AGCTTCTTACTGCTAGGATAAATGAAGCAGAAGAAAGAATTAGTGATATAGAAGACCAAATGACAGAGAATAAAGAAGCTGAGCAAAAGAGAGAAAAACAGCTACTGGACCATGAGGGGAGAATTTGAGAGATAAGTGACACCATAAGATGAAACAACATTAGAATAATTGAGATTCCAGAAGAAGAAGAAAGAAAGCGGGGAGCAGAAGGTGTATATTGGAGAGAATTATTGTAGAGAATTTCCCTAATAAGGCAATGGGAACAAGCGTCAAAATCCAGGAGGTGCAGAGAACCCCCTCAAAATCAACAAAAATAGGTCCACACGCCATCACCCAATAGTAAAATTTACAAGTCTTAGTGACAAAGAGAAAATCCTGAAAGCAGCCTGGGACAAGAAGTCTGTAACGTACAATGATAAAAATATTAGATTGGCAGCAGACTTATCCACAGAGACCTGGCAGGCCAGAAAGAACTGGCATGATATATTCAGAGAACTAAACGAGAAAAACATGCAGCCAAGAATACTATATCCAGCTAGGCTATCGTTGAAAATAGAAGGAGAGATAAAAAGCTCCCAGGACAAACAAAAACTTAAAGAATTTGCAAACACCAAACCAGCTCTACAGGAAATATTGAACGGGTCCTCTAAGCAAAGAGAGACCCTAAAAGTAGTAGATCAGAAAGGAACAGAGACAATATTCAGCAACAGTCACCTTACAGGCAATACAATGACACTAAATTCCTCTCTCTCAATAGTTACCCTGAATGTTAATGGGCTAAATGCCCCAATCAAAAGACACAGGGTATCAGAATGGATAAAAAAACAAAACCCATCAATATGCTGCCTACAAGAAACTCATTTTAGACCTGAAGACACCTCTAGATTTAAAGTGAGGAGGTGGAAAACAATTTACCATGCTAATGGACATCAGAAGAAAGCAAGAGTGGCAATCCTTATATCAGATCAATTAGATTTTAAGCCAAAGATTATAATAAGAGATGAGGAAGGACACTATATCATACTCAAAGGGTCCGTCCAACAAGAAGATCTAACAATTTTAAATATCTATGCCCCTAATGTGGGAGCAGCCAACCATATAAACCAATTAATAACAAAATCAAAGATACACATTAACAATGATACAATAATAGTAGGGGACTTTAACACTCCCCTCGCTGAAATGGACAGATCATCCAAGCAAAGATCAACAAGGAAATAAAGGCCTTAAATGACACACTGGACCAGATGGACATCACAGATATATTCAGAACATTTCATCCCAAAGCAACAGAATACACATTCTTCTCTAGTGCACATGGAACATTCTCCAGAATAGATCACATCCTGGGTCATAAATCAGGTCTCAACTGGTATCAAAGGATTGGGATCATTCCCTGCATATTTTCAGACCACAATGCTCTGAAGCTAGAACTCAATCACAAGAGGAAATTTGGAAAGAACCCAAATACATGGAGACTAAACAACATCCTTCTAAAGAATGAATGGGTCAACCAGGAAATTAAAGAAGAATTGAAAAAATTCATGGAAACAAATGATAATGAAAACACAATTGTTCAAAATCTGTGGGACATAGCAAAGGCAGTCCTGAGAGGAAAATATATAGCGGTACAAGCCTTTCTCAAGAAACAAGAAAAGTCTCAAATAACAACCTAACCCTACACCTAAAGGAGCTGGAGAAAGAATAAGAAAGAAACCCTAAACCCAGCAGGAGAAGAGAAATCATGAAGATCAGAGCAGAAATCAATGAAATAGAAACCAAAAGAAAAGTAGAACAAATCAACGAAACTAGGAGCTGGTTCTTTGAAAGAATTAATAAGATTGATAAGCCCCTGGCCAGACTTATCAAAAAGAAAAGAGAAAGGACCCAAATAAATAAAATCATGAATGAAAGAAAAGAGATCACAACCAACACCAAAGAAATACAAACAATTATAAGAACATACTATGAACAACTCTACGCCAACAAATTTGACAATCTGGAAGAAATGGATGCATTCCTAGAGACATATAAACTACTACAACTGAACCAGGAAGAAATAGAAAACCTGAACAGACCCATAACCAGTAAGAAGATTGAAACAGTCATCAAAAATCTCCAAACAAACAAAAGCCCAGGGCCAGACGGCTTCCCAGAGGAATTCTACCAAACATTTAAAGAAAAATTAGTTCCTATTCTCCTGAAACTGTTCCAAAAAAATAGAAGTGGAAGGAAAACTTCCAAACTCATTTTATGAGGCCAGCATCACCTTGATCCCAAAACCAGACAAGGATCCCATCAAAAAAGAGAATTACTGACCAATATCCTTGATGAACACAGATGTGAAAATTCTCACCAAAATACTAGCCAATAGGATCCAGCAGTACATTAAAAGGATTATTCACCACGACCAAGTAGGATTTATTCCAGGGCTGCAAGTTTGGTTCAATATCCTCAAAACAATCAATGTGATACAATACATTAATAAAAGAAAGAACAAGAACCATATGATACTCTCAATAGATGCTGAAAAAGCATTTGACAAAGTACAGCATCCCTTCCTGATCAAAACTCTTCAAAGTGTAGGGATAGAGGGCACATACCTCAATATTATCAAAGCCATCTATGAAAAACCCACCACAAATATCATTTCAATGGAGAAAAACTGAAAGCTTTTCTGCTAAGGTCAGGAACACGGTAGGGATGTCCTTAATCACCACTGCTATTCAACATACTACTAGAAGTCCTAGCCTCAGCAATCAGACAACAACAAAAAAGAAATTAAAGGCACCTAAATCAGCAAAGAAGAAGTCAAACTATCACTCTTTGCAGATGATATGATACTATATGTGGAAAACCCAAAAGACTCCACTCCAAAACTGTTAGAACTTGTACAGGAATTCAGTAAAGTGTCAGGATATAAAATCAATGCACAGAAATCAGTTGCATTTCTCTACACCAACAACAAGACAGAAGAAAGAGAAATTAAGGAGTCCATCCCATTTACAACTGCACCCAAAACTTTAAGATACCAAGGAATAAACCTAACCAAAGAGACTAAGAATCTATACTCAGAAAACTATAAAGTACTCATGAAAGAAATTGAGGAAGACAAAAGGAAATGGAAAAATGTTCTATGCTCCTCAAATGAAAGAACAAATATTGTGAAAATGTCTACGCTACCTAAAGCTATCTACACATTTAATGCAATCCCTATCAAAGTCCCACCCATTTTTTTCAAAGAAATGGAACAAATAATCCTAAAATTTATATGGAACCAGAAAAGACCTCGAATAGCCAAAGGAATATTGAAAAAGAAAGCCAAAGTTGGTGGCATCACAATTCCGGACTTCAAGCTCTATTACAAAGCTGTCATCATCAAGACGGTATGGTATTGGCACAAAAACAGACACATAGATCAATGGAACAGAACAGATAGCCCAGAAATAGACCCTCAACTCTATGGTCAACTAATCTTCAACAAAGCAGGAAAAAATCTCCAGTGGAAAAAAGACAGCCTCTTCAACAAATGGTGTTGGGAAAATTGGACAGCCACATGCAGAAAAATCAAATTGGACAATTTCCTTACATCACACAGGAAAATAGACTCAAAATGGATGAAGGACCTCAATGTGAAAAGGAATCCATCAAAATCCTTGAGAAGAACACAGGCAGCAACGTCTTCGACCTCAGCCATAGCAACTTCTTCCTAGGAAGATCACCAAGGCAAGGGAAGCAAGGGCAAAATGAACTATTGGGATTTCATCAAGATCAAAAGCTTTTGCACAGGAAAGGAAACAGTTAACAAAACCAAAAGACAACTGACAGAATGGGAGAAGATATTTGCATACGACATATCAGATAAAGGGCTAGTGTCCAAAATCTATAAAGAACTTAGCAAACTCAACGCCCAAAGAACAAATAATCCAATCAAGAAATGGGCAGAAGACATGAACAGACATTTCTGCAAAGAAGACATCCAGATGGCCAACAGACACATGAAAAAATGCTCCACATCTCTCGGCATTAGGGAAATACAAATCAAAACCACAATGAGATACCACCTCACACCAGTCAGAATGGCTAAAATTAACAAGTCAGGAAATGACAGATGCTGGCGAGGATGTGGAGGAAGGGGAACCCTCCTACACTGTTGGTGGGAATGCAAGCTGGTGCGACCACTCTGGAAAACAGCATGGAGGTTCCTCAAAAAGTTGAAAATAAAGCTACCCTATGACCCAGCAATTGGACTACTGGGTATTTACCCTAAGGATACAAATGTAGTGATCCGAAGGGGCACGTGCACCCGAATGTTTATAGCAGCAATGTCTACAGTAGCCAAACTATGGAAAGAACCTAGATGTCCATCAACAGATGAATGGATAAAGAAGATGTGGTATATATATATATATATATATATATATATATATATATATATATATTATGCAGCCATCAAAAGAAATGAAATCTTGCCATTTGCAATGATGTGGATGGAACTAAGGGGTATTATGCTTAGCGAAATAAGTCAATCTGAGAAAGACAACTGTCACATGATCCCCCTGATATGAGGAAGTGGAGATGCAACATGGGGGGCTTGGGGGGGCAGGAAAATAACAAATGAAACAAGATGGGATCAGGAGGGAGACAAACCATAAGTGACTCTTAATCTCACAAAACAAACTGAGGGTTGCTCGGGGTAGGAGGGTCAGGAGAGGGGGGTGGGGTTATGGACATTGGGGAGGGTATGTGCTATGGTGAGTGCTGTGAAGTGTGTAAACCTGGTGATTCACAGACCTGTACCCCTGGGGATAAGTATACATTATATGTTTATTAAAAAAAAAAAAAAGAAAGAAAGAAAGAAGAAGAAGACACTCACCGTACACTCCAAAGCTTCCCTCTCCTCCACCTTACCCACTATGACCGTCCCAAGATTTTTATCCTCGAAAAGAAACAGATCAGTCCACACTCCGACCAGTACAGCCTTTGAAAGGTAAAGGGCATGTTGTTTTCTATATTTTATTGTAAAAGTAATACATGGTCTGTACAGAAAGAGAGTCTTGATGGCAAGAAGTGCTGAGACTCAAAAGGAACCAGGACAGTCAGTCATCTGGGACCACACTCTCTGCAACTTTTAAGACTTCAAGCTTCAGGATTCACACAGATGTCCCTGGAAGGGTCCTTCTCTTCCTTTGGAACCATGGCAGTCCTCTTGTCCTCCCTCAGGGGAACTGGGCCAGGCGTCCTGGTGTCTCTGATTCTCTTTCCCCCAGGGCCGCAGGCAAGATAATGGAGGCTAAATTTGGTTCTGATAATCTGCCTCTGCCTCTGCTTCTTCCTCCGGGTGCAAGAGAAGTGAGTAGGTGATGGTATTTTCAGCCTAGGGAACGCAGAAGGGAGTAATTCACAGGAATGAAGGCAGCAGAGGAGGAGGCGGAAGGAGGAGATGGCTGGGGTGGCTCACCTCAATTTTGGCAGCCTCTTCCGTATCAGTGACATAGGCTGTGGGCAGAAAGAACAGAGGTCAGGGATGCGTGGGAGCTCGGTCAGTCAAGGGTTAACCTTCTGCTCAGGTCACAATCTCAAGGTCCTGGGATGGAGCCCTGAATTTGCTTCTCCCTCTTCCTCTGCCCCCCACCCCCACTTATGCTCACTCTCTCTTTCTCTCTCAAATAAATAAATACAATCTTTAAAAAAAAAAAAAATTAGAACAGAGATCAGCCCACTGCACGGTGGTGGCTGCTGCAGAACGAAGGCCCCAACCAGACACGAAGAAACAAGGACCTGCAGACCGAGTTCTCTGCGCAGACTCAGTCTCTGCTCCTGGCCACACGGGCAGAGGGAGGCCCTCATCTGCCCTGCATGCTTTTCAGAGAATTGCTGACTTTTTCTAGAAACCAACCCGCCAGCTTTAGGAACCGGAGATCCTGGGGAAGAGATGGGGGGATGTTCAGTATCACCGGGAGGTCAAGTTCAGTTTTTTGCTGGCCACAGTCTTCAGGGAGAGAAGACTGGAGGGCGGTTCAGCACTGGCCCTATGCAGCGGGTTGGGGGGGCGCGGCCTTTGAAGAATGTGAGGCTCCGCCACATTAAAACGGAAGAAAGCGCAACAGTGAAAGCGAGCGGAGGAGGGAAGGAAGCAAGCCAACAAACCAGGACTTTCCCTGGTAAATAGCTAAAACACACCAAATTCCCACATGTTTTTTGCCAATGAACTCACTCACTCACTCACTCACTCACTCACACTGTGAAAAGTAGTCTCAGTATCTGCAAAGCAGCATTCCTTAGGCAGGGGTGGGGGTGGGAGTGTGAGACGGTGCCTCCAGTGTCTCCACTCACCCCCACCCTGCACACAGTCTCTGTTTGCCATGCTCCAGATTCTGGGACAAAGCACCCCCAGAATTCTCCTTCTAACGCATTCTCAACGATCCTAGTGACCTAGCTCACTGATGGGAAACCGTAAGACCCCCAGCCTCTCTGTGGCGGGAGGGCTGGTGAAATGGATTTGTGCCGGTGGAGACAGAGCCAAACCTCCAAGGGGCTGTTCCAGCTGTGTTTGGGCTTTTCTCTAGATCTGGCTTGGCCTGGTGCGGGCTCAGGCCTGCATCCCACTGGTCACGGCTAAGAACACAAGGGCCTTGCTCAAAGCACAGCGGGACAAGTGCCATTGCGCTCAAGCTCTCAAATCTGTTGGTTCCGCTCTGAGTCATACTCCGGCCCACTGACGCAGAGCCCCTGAGGGCCTCTTTTTCCTCTGCTTCTGCTAGCCAGGAGCCCCTCGAGAAATTTCCAGGTTCCCTGGCGCTCTCGATTAGCTACAGGCAGGAGGTCACCTGGGCTACTCCTGCTCCCACCTGGGCCAGGGGTTGGAGAGTCACGGACTCTCAGAATGTCAGACCCAGAAGGGCTTTGAGGTCATCAGGCCAATCCGCCCATTTCCTCAGGGAGGTGACTGCATGCCATCGTGGGGAACGTGCAAGTTTCCATCTGCTGCTGGTAACAGAGCAATGGCCAGGCCCATGTTTAATAAACTTACACACGTGGGCACCAGAGCCAAACTGTGCCCAGCAGTGAAGCCCGGGAATGCATCCAGTCCCCTAGAACTTTCTCCAGCCCACATGTCCCCGTAATGCCTCATTCTTCCCCCATCACTCCCTGAGACAGACTCCTCGACCTGTCCAGGGATCATTCCCTGGGTCTCCCTCTCTTTTCCTCTTACTCCCGTGTGTCTCAGTCTCACCACTCCTAACCTCTGGCCTGTGCCAGCTCTGCCAAACCCCACAGAAGGACCCAAACGTCTCTGATGTCCTGTTCTGGAAACGTTCCCAGCACTCCTGGTTCCAAAATTTGGACACAAGCCTCCCCTCTCTATCTGCGGCAGGTGGTCCTCTCCCTTTCACCCCCAGTGAGGTCCTCTTCAGGCCCAGGAGTTAGTCTCAGAACGGACCAAGCGATTTGAGCCCCTGCCCTCCTCCACCGCCCCCTCCCTCTCCTGTGCTCCCAGCTGAACTCACACAAGCTACTTCCTGTGGGCTCCAATCCACCTGGAAGCCCCAGGCAGGGCACCTTGAGCCCCCAAGCAGGGAATAGCACTCACCTGGTTCCTCAGGGAGGGACTTTCCCATTTCCCTGTGCTTGGGGTTTCCTAGGGGAGCTATGAGGGGCACAGAGGAGGTTAGTAGAGGTACAGGGTGGGGCCTGAGTCCTCAGGCAAGGACCAGGGCCAGGAACGGGTTAGAACCAACAGAGACCCTCCCCTCCCCCACCCCCGTGGAGATGCTTCTCTTCCTCCTCCTCCTCCTCCTCTCCTGCCCCAGACCTGCCCACCCTATAGAAGGGCCATTGAGTTAACCATGGGGACCCCTGGGACTGTCAGAAAGGCCATTTAGCCGTATCTTTCTCAGGCTTGCCCTGCCCTGTTAAAAGCTCTTTTCCCTCCCCCTCAGAGTCTCTGTGCATCTCGGTGGGGAGCCCGGCTGTGAACCGACCCAAAGGGCCTTGTGAGGTACAAGGAGCATCTTTTCTCCTCCCCTGTGGCTCCGAGTCTTTTTTCCTCTTCCTCCTCTTCTATCTCCGGGTGTCTTTAGACTTTCTCTCCTGCCAAGCTAGCTTTCCAGGCGATGAACCGTGATAACTTGCTTATTCCATTTCTAGGGCTCCTCGCCTCCTTCTCAGCTCCTTCAGGGTGGTACGAGGGGGAAGGAACCGCTTTCCAAGAGTCGGAGTTCTTCAGGGCACCCGTCTGTGAACAGACGCTCAGTGACCCGGTCTCCCTGCCGCCAAACCGCTCTAGGAGCAGGGGCGAGGAGGAGACATGAACGAGGACTTCCTGGGACTTCCTTCCCGTCGTCTTGCCACCCACTCTGGGACACAGTTTCTGTTCTCTAATGTGGCCTCTGTGGTCTGCATGACCACATGTCTGCCCAGCCTCATCTGCCCTCCCTGCGCCTTGCAGGTTTTGGTTTCCAGCCGCACAGCCCTTACCGCCCCCTCCTCACTCCTCCCCCAGCCCCTGTCCCAGCCACAGTGCTCTTCCTTCTGTGCCTTGGCCCCCAGCCAAGCAGTGCTCTTCCAGGCCTCTCTGTCTGGCTGACGGCTACCAGCTACCCTCCAACACGTTCCCTCCTCTGTCAGAAGAGCGGCTCTCTCTCGTGTGCTGTTATGTACCCCACACTGGGCTGAGTGCTCAGCCCTGCTCAACCCCATACCATCCAGTGAGGTAGGTCCTACTAGTGCCTTCATTTTCCAGATGAATCAATACAGGCACAGAGATAGTGAAGAACTCATCCAAGGTCACAGAGCTGGTGAGCTGTGGAGCTGAGATTTAATCGGGGGTGGGTGGGCAGTACGGCTCCCTCTACGTGTGTTTTGGTCACTACATATACCACTGCCTCTTGCAAGCTTCTCTAACCTCTCGCCTGGGCTGCATCACGTGGGCTCTCGTGCCCCCGCCCCATCACAGCCTTGGTGACTTGACTACAGCTTTCATCCCACCTAACTTTAATGATTTACTTGTCCTGTCTTCCCCACCACACTGGGAGCCCCTGGAGAGCAGGGACTGGACTTCTTACCACCCAGGCTGCCTAACACAGTGCTGGACCCATAAGCAAGTTTTTTCAAGCCTTGTTGAATAAATGCATGAATTTATTTAGCTCAGTCTGCTATGTCTGCGTCTACCTTCCTGCTTTTGGCTCAGGTCGTGATCCCAGGCTCCCTGTTCCACAGGGAGCCTGCCTCTGCCTCTCTCTCTCTGTCTCTTATGAATAAATACATAAAACTTTAAAAAAAAAAAGTGAATGAATTGACGAATAAAATATGGGGCTATGTCTGAACTATAAGGATGCTCTGAGCCCAAAGAGGAGGGTCCTGGCTATGGTTGGGGTTAAAGCCTGGGCCAAGTAGGAACTGACAGCAAGAGGAACCCAGAAAAGCCACGAACCTGAAGTTTGCTTTTGCCTGAGGCGGAACCAGGCCACAGCAGCCACGAGGATGGCCACTGCAGCTGTGCCAGCGACTGCAGCCACGACCATCATCATCACAGAGGAGTCGCTCCGGTCGGACTCTGGGGGAGACAGACCTCAGGACACGCAGCAGCCTCCCACATCCCACCCTGTACTCCAGGGCTTCTCTCCAGGAGCTTCTTTGTGTCTGGGTCCCTTGTCCCTTGTCCCTTGTCTGGGTCCTCCCCAAACCTCATCTGTGGGGACGACACGGCAGCTGGACTTGTGCCTCCCTGCCGACAGGTGTCTCCGTTCATCCAATAAAGGCAGACTACTGAGTGTGTGGGGGCTGAGTTCAGAGAGAGAAGGGAGGGGGACCCAAAGCCTCCCCTAGTTGGAGGCTCTGAGACTCAATCCCACAAGGGTTAGAACTGTTGGGGACAAGTCACGTCTTGGGGAGTGAACGGACATAACATGTGACCTGACTCGGAGCTCTAGCCCCTCCTGCTGCCCAGGGCCAATATTCATCGCGCCCCGTTCCTCCCCGCTCTGCCTCTGTGCCCACATGTGTGTGCTCTGACATTTCTCAGATCTCCCAGGAGGCCCCTACGACCTTAGCCACAATTGCCCATCCCCTCACTGTCCTCCTCCCTCCATCCTGACGGAGTTCCCACCTTGGACAGTGATGGCCACAAGCTGTGAGAGGCGCAGCATCTGGCCTATCATTCCCGTGCAGTGGTAGTCACCGCTGTGACTGAGGTTGGCTTCTGGGATGAAGAATGTGGAATTCAGGGAGGAGAACTGCTTGGATTTTCCATCCTGGAAGAAGGTGATCTTGTACAGGTGCCGGTTCTGCCAGCTGTGGCACCTCAGCACGATGGGGTCCCCTATCTGGAACACCAGGCGTCGGGTCTGGAGCAGCAGCCAGTCTGAAAGACACAAAGGGACCCTAGGACCTGGGAGGTCTTGACTGATCTCTGAGGCCATCCTTACTGGTGGGACACGCTATGGGTGGAGGGAAGAGCTTGACACCTGGTGTCTCAGGGTAGCTCCATTTTGGGGGAGCTCTGACTTCATGGGCCTCTTCTAGGTCTTGGGTTCCTCCTCTGTGAAGATGGACATAACAATTCCACGCAGCTACAGCAGTTTCTGGCACACAGTAGGTGTTCAGGATAAGCTTGTCTTCTCTTTCCTGTCCTGGGAGAAGGCAGCTGCTGCCCTGTCCTGCCCAACAGGCTCTTTCGGGAAGAGAGCCCAGGGTGCAGTCTGACCTAGGAGATAACGTGTGAAGGGACACAGCAGAGACAAGTCTTTCGGGAGAGTGAGAGGTCATGGACCTCCAAGAAGTATTAGCTTATTTGATGTAATTTGGTAAATGTGGAGTTTTACTTCAGCAGAGTCTTTGAGGTCATTGGCCTGCTGTCTTTTTTCCCTCCCGATGTTCATCCTCTGACTGAGGAAGACGAAATATTTAGTATGTTTGTTGTGTAGGGAATAAAGCCTAAGGTAGAAATTTGTACTCCTGACCTCAGCTCACATGTTCCTTTTCCCTAAAGCTGGAGGATGGAGCAGAGCTGGAATTGGAAAGAGAGTTAGAGGAGAAGACAACAGCAGAATCAGAAGGGGGGCGCCTGGGTGGCTCACTGGGTGAAGCGTCTGCCTTCGGCTTGGGTCATGATCCCGGGGTCCTGGAATCGAGACCCTGTGTCAGGTTCCTGCTCAGTGGGGAGCCTGCTTCCCCCTCTCCTCCTGTGACTGCCTCCACCCCCAAGCTCATGCTCTCCCTCTCTCTCAAATAAATAAAGGAAGTCTTGGGGAAAAAAAAAAGAATTAGAAGGGAGTGAGGGCAGGGGGGCGGGGTGCAAGAAGAGTGACGAGGCCAACCAAGTCTCAGCACGGGCTGGGGACACAGCCACGGATGCAGGAGGAGATGGTCAGTACCAAGGGAGTGAGTGACGACACAGAGAAGTCAGCTGCAGCTACAGCGGGAATTTGAGGGGTGGAGGGTGGCACCAGACCCTGTTCCTTGGGTGCCACGAGCTGGAAAACCCCAGCCCTCCTGTCAGGGAGGCATGTCTACCTTCCACCCAAATCCCTGCCTTACCACACTGCACAGTCCTCCCCTTGGAGGACCGAGACCCTGGCTGGGCACTACGCACCAGGATGAGGCTGAGCCGTCCTGGTTCCCTAGACTGCCTCTCTCGCGAGATTGGATTAGGGCAGGTGGGGATGCCGAGATGTGTAAAGCGTTGAAAAAAATAAAGTAGAACCCAGCGAAAATACCAGTGTTGCCATGTAGCACCAGCAACCAATTCCGGCACTTCTCTTCCCCGCCAAGGGAATCCCCATCACAGAAGACCTACACGGCTGGGAATGGTTTTTCTTCTGCGGAGTCTCTGCTGCTACCAGGTTATAACCTGGATAATGGGGACTATCTGCCTTCGGCTGGTCTGTGCAGGGGGGGCAACTTAGCACTCCTTAAGAACATTTGTCTTGGTGCAGATCTTAAAGGCAGGGTCAGGTTCCTCTCCGTGGCACTCATGAGAGGTTCTTCAAGTAATCGAAGGGCTTTCCCACCCATCTGGGAACAAAACTCCTCTGAATTCTCCTGGAAGCCTTGCGGAGAAGCAATAATGCCCACACCTTCTTCACATGCCACTGGCTACGTGGGGACACACTCAGTCTCAGGGGGTGGGATGCCCTCACCTCCTTACCTTCCTGCAGGGGCAGGGACACAGATGTCGGGCCTCAGGAGCTTCTCTCTGGGCCTGTAACTTCCTGCCTGGAGAGGGTGGGGGTGACAGGCCTGCTGTGTGCTTTTGAGGAAAATGTAGGCGTCTGGGGGGGAAAGGGCCTCCATGAAGAGTGACGATGACAATATTCATTGTCATCGCATGGTGGCTCTACTTTTTTGCCAGAAGCTTTGTAAAATCATTCATTTGTTTAACAAATATTTATTAAACCCTGCCCTTGTCAGGGGCTAGAAATGCAAATATAGTTAAAATACAGCTTCCAGGGGGCACCTGGGTGGCTCATTCGGCTAAGTGTCCAACTCTTGGTTTCGGCTCAGGCCGTGAGCTCAGGGTTGTGAGATGGAGCCCTGTTTCGGGCTCTGTGCTGGGTGTGGAGCCTGCTTGGGATTCTCTCCCTCTCCCTCTGCCCTTCCCTCCCCCCCTCTCTCTAATGAGGAAAAAAAAAAGATCAACACAATTTTCAGGTAAAGTTGCATGAGGGCAGGGAGATGCTGATTCCCACAAGGACCTGGGGAGAGAGGCATTAATACCCCCATGAGTAGACAAGGAATCAAATCCAAGGGCAGATGAATCACCATGGCTGGTGGTGTCCAGGCTGAAGACCCAGTTGTAGTCTGTCTATGCTTTGTGATGGCTACAAAAATGGGTTTTTAGGCAGTCAGAATTTCCTTCTGCTTCTCTCATACCCTACATGCTTATCTGTAGCCTTGTAACCTTGCTCCATCAGGATTGAGGCAAAATTGAGGACTGAGGAATCTCTTAGGACTGTCCACTGCCACCACACATACTAAGCAAAGGGGGCGGATGAAAAGGGAAGTGAGTGGACAAAAACATCTTCCAACAACTCACAGCCCTGCTTCCCAGGAAACAGGCTACCCCCCTTCCCTAAAAACCTCTGCCATGTTAGCAGATTTCATCTTTCCTTATTCACCCAGTCCCTCCCTGGGCCCTTCCTCCACTGACCGGAAGTCACGTCCAGATGCACAGGGTCACTGAGGCTGGTCTGGTCGGTCTGGCACCTGTACTCCCCACTATCCTGTTTTTTGGCCTTAAAGCTGTAGTTGGAGTTGACCAGGGTTGGGATGGAGCTCCCATTATGGAACCACTGGGTGACGTGGTCTGCAGCGGTGTGGGCTCCCTGGCACTTCAGGGTCACACGATCCTCCTGGAGCACATTGACCCATGGGGGCTCGAGGTCCAGCACAGCCTTTGGGAGACCTGCTAAAGGGCAGAGAGAGGAAGAAGTAGGAGGAAAGGGGGACCCAAGAGCCGAAGCGGCCCCCAAATTTCAGTGAAGCCCATACTGTTGTGTGACTATAGGTAATTCCTCTTATTCATGCATCCCACCACAGGGGCCTACAGGAAGCCAGGTCCACTCAGGGAGCTTGACCTTTCCTCAGGAAGAGAGGGCAAGGTAAGAGAAAGGAAGAAGGGGTAAAAGAAATACAAGAAATATATGTATACCTCAACAGGGGTCACCTAAGGCAGTTCTTTCTTTTCTTTTTTCTTCCTTCCTTCCCTCCGTCCCTCCCTCCCCACCCCCCTCCCTCCTCCCTCCCTCTCTCTTTCCCTCCCTCCCTATCCGTTCCTTCATTTCTTCCTTCTTTCTTTCCTTCCTTCCTATTTCTTCTTTCCTTTCTTCCTTCCTCCCTCCCTCCCTTCCTTCCTTCCTCTGTTTCTCTCTCTCTCTCTCTCTCTCTCACACACACACACACACACACACGCATGCACGTGCATGCATGTGCACCCACACACATACTACACATACATACCTTTCTGGAACTCACCTTCTTCCCCTATAAACAGAGGTGTTTTGGACATTAGATAAACTCTCTCCAGAGCCGGATGAAGGCATCTGGTGGAGGTATCCAGCATGAGTCAGACATCAGGTTTCTCTTCTGGCCTGATGTCAGTCTTTGCCCCTTAGAATAGACCTATCCTCACACCCAAGTACAGAGGAGTCTCTGTGTCCTCAGAAGGATAAAGAAAGAGAAAGGCTGGAGGGCCAGTCTGGGGAGCCCTGGGTTCAGTGCCTCAGGGAAAACCGCACCCCACCCTCCTGGGATTCCTGGGAGGCAGGGAGTTAATTGCCACAGAGAAAGAAGTGTCCGGCAGAGTTTACAACACCAAGCTGCAATCTGGGGTATCTCCTCCTACTTCTTTCCAGGCCTTGAAGCCCTCGGATACATGCAAAGTGGAGGATTTATCAATACGGGAGATAACCTTGGCAGATGATGGGATTTTGTGTGCAACTGAGACTAAAAATGTCTGGGGTCTTGATTTTACTGAGAGAGAGGACGAGCTATTTTCTGTGACAGTATCTGTGACGTCTCACCCTAACAGAACCAGAAGGATTCAAGCACCTGCTGCCTATCCTGGGCTCCCTGGGAGGAGGGGAAAGAGAAAGGGGAGAGGGAGAGGGAGGGGCAGGGCATCTGCTTCCTGGCCCCACTCAAGTACTAGGTTACTGGTGCATTCAGGGCACCTCCAAGTGGGTGCTGGGAGCAGAGGAAGAGTGTGGCTGGGGGAGGGAGAGGATGTGGGTGGAGCACTTACCAGGTGTCCCAGCAACTGGAGCTGTAAGAAAGTGAAGATCAGTCCAGAGTTTAGATTTGATGATTCATCAGTACAAGAATCACTTCAAAAAAAAAAAAAAAATCCCTCCATGCAAATCCCCTTAACCCCCTTGCCCTTCCTTGTCTCTTGTTAAATTCAGCTATACAGTCCATGCCTTTACTTGTTCATCTGTGGGTCACTAAAATGAGCACACAAGCAGACTGATCAGTATCTCTATAAATTTGGGGTCACCATTTTCAAAAGGACATTGAACTGCCATTCTGACACGTTTTTCTAGTAAATTTGCTCTGCTATTCTCAGCAGGGACACTCATCTTTTCCTCACTCCCAGAACTTTCCTGTCTTCTGCCTCCAATCCCTTCTTGCTTAAAGTGGATGTTTTCACAGAAAACAAAAGCAGTTGGGCAGGAAATGTCACACCTTCCCTCAACTCAAATGTCTAACCTCTCTGCCCCTCTGCCCAACTTCCTTTCTTGCTGTTCCCTAGGAAAGACTCTCTCCTCCTCTCCAAGATCAATCTCCACCCTGGTTCGCAATCCCTGTCACCCTCACAAGGATTTCCCTCTCTCTGTTATCCCCATGCTCTTCTGCATCACCAATTTCTCCTCAGCTGGTTCTTTTCCCATTAACATAAGCATAGTCCAGATCTTTCATTAAAAAAAAAAAAAAGCTTATCACTTGATCCTACTTATAATTCCAAAATTATTTCTCTGCCCCCTTTCATAGCCAGATTTCTCAGGGTTGTTTTGTTTTGTTTTGTTTTCTACATGGACTGCGCTCCTTTCTACTCATTGAGCTCCCATAACACCAGCCCTCTTTAAATTCTTCTCACTTGCCGCTCTTGTGTATGCAGATCCCTCCTCTAGACCCAGTTTTCTTTATCTCTTCAAATGGCTAGATCCTTGCCTTGCTCAAAGTCCCAGCTCAAGTGTCACCTCCTCAGAAAAAGCTTTCCTTATCATCCTGTTTATTATCCTCTCTTCTTCCCCACAAAGACTCTTCTTATCATAGTATACTGTTTACATCTTTGTGGCCCTTTCCAATTTATTATCCATTTTATTTATGCCTATTTATCTATTTATTTGTTGTTTATATCTCCCAGGAGAATGGAAGGTCAAAGGGGGCAGCAGCCATATCAATTTTATTTACCAGTGCTCTGGGAAATCACTTATTGAATGAGTCTAGGTGGGAGATAAAAGGGGCCACAGTTGTATTGACAATAGGACGTGAAGAATATATACACATGAGGGAAAATTTTTCTTAAGATTTTATTTATTTGTTTGAGAGAGAAAGAGTGAGAGAACTTGAGCAGGGTGGGGGGCAGAGGGAGAGGCAGAAGCAGACTCTCTGCTGAGAAGAGAGTCTGACTTGATCCTGGAACTCCAGGATCATGACTTGAGCCGAAGGCAGATGCTTTACCGACTGAGCCATCCAGGTGCCACATGAGAAATTTAAGAGGCAATATTGGGGGAAGCTGGCCCTTGATGAGAGTGAGGGTAATGTGAGTGGATGGCTAGGGAAAAGGTTACTCATGCTCACACAAATAGAAATATTAGGAAGAAGAGTACATCTGTAAGGGGAATATAAGTTGAGTTTGAATATAGTTTGTTTCTGAGCCGGTATATCAGTGTGAGGGTGTCCAACCAGCAGGTGGAAACACAAAACTGTAGTTGACACAAGCAAGAAATACAGGTCTGGAAGTTGTTGACACAGCAGTGATAGCTGAGAACCAGAGTGTGTCAGATTGGCAAGACGGATGATGTAGAAAGAAGTAGAACCTAAGAGGAGGGGAAGAGGAGCAACAAGAAAGAGATGAGAAGAGTGGAGAAAAGTCGTCAGCCATTTATTCATTCCACACTCAACCAACAGTCATAAAAACACACTCAATGGAGTCATTGTAAGGCAGACAAAGACCTTGTGCTTTACCGTCAGGAAGGCTGTCTGTCTTGTTCATTGGTAAATCTCCAAGTCCTAGAACAGGGCGTATTCACGCATTTATTTAAAGTTTAAACAAGGCAGTTTGTGGAATCTGTAGAAAGCAGGAAATGCAGTGTCCACATTGCCTGGCTGTAGAGGAAGAGCCACTTGGGGCAATGGGAACGTAGTGAAGAGGGGGCAATGGGGGCCTTAGTTAGTACGCAACAGAGCAGCCCTGGAGGCATTTAAGTGTGGTGACTCAGCTGCACTTGAAGACGTCATGGCCTTGGTGTGCGGCACAGATTCAGAGGAGAGGAGACAGGAGCAGTCGAGATGGGGCCAGAGGTGTTGTCAAAGCTGGGTTATTGAGGGATGCAGTCGAATGCTCTACCCCTGAGCTATACCCCCTGGTTACTGAGGTATGAAGACCTAAAGATAGTGCTCCAAATAAGGATGGGGAAAATGGAGCCAGTCCTGGGTGACTTAACGAAAGGGCAAGTGGAAGAAAAGATCAAGTTTTGCCCAGGCGACTGGCACATTGGTGGCTGAGATGGACAAGCATATCTATCACCTCTCAAGGTCTGAGCTTCCTTTTCTTCACATGAAAAATGACATAGTCCAATGCTCCTTTCACATGTTAATCAACTTCGGTCCATTTCATCCTGCTCATGAAGGAATACTCTCTCCTCTTCACCTCCACTTCTTATCTCAGTATCATTTAGCAGTGAGGGTTGAAGGCTCCCAGAGATGACCAGATTTTACTATCAGTTATAGCACCTAACTCAAGAGTGGCTCCATGTCTTCCTCTGGGGCCATCGTAAGGTGTATTTAAGGGTGGGAACTCTAGGAATTGAGCTTGGAGAGATAATCCTAGCAATAAGGCTCCCCTAGCTGGCCTCCTAGACTTCCTCCCACTGGCACCAACAGTCCCTGGCCTCCTTCTTGACCTAGGACCCTGACTTTCTCCCTGATCACAGCCAGTACCTATCCCCATGTGTGTGTACAAGGAAGTATGCATGATTTCTCCAGCCCTACAATTGACAATTCTAGAACTTCCCAGGTTGTGTGTTCTCTCAACCCCTGCTCCCTGGATAACCCGGACCCTCTTTGCTCTTCCCAGGGAAATCCAACACATAAACAGAATAAGCTGCTGCTGCTTAACAGAGAATGGTTACTTCTACCTCCACCCCAAGTGTCCTATTGCTTCCTCCCCACCCTTTATCTAAGACAGCATTCGTCCTTCCACCTAAGATTTGGTCCCTGTGAAACACAAATTTCTAAGGAAGAAAAACACCCTGGCCACTCATTAGTGACTCAAGTCCGCGTCACTAGACTTTCCCCAAGCAGGTTCAGGTGTAGGTGGTGGCAGAACATCAGGGACCTGGCTGCCCAGTGATACTGGGCAAAAGACACTAAAAACTACAACAAACACTCTGCCAGTTTTATCATTTGCCAAGGCCAGTGGGTCTGTCAGAGTTTGTCTTCATCAGCCTGCTTCACCCTCCTCATTTTCCTGAACGGTTCCCATGCTACCCCTCATCCTCGCCAAAGCTCAGCCCAACCTAGGGAAGCAGCAGCTGAGTTAGGAAAGTGCAATTGCCTCTGTCCCTCATGAGGACACGGACTCACCCAGAAATAGCAGAGCTGTCCACAGCAGCATATCCCCCAAAGGATGGCAGGGCATGCAATCAGCCCAGTCACCAGCAGCAGCAGGGATGGGGAGGAACGAGGGAATCCACATCAACTGTGGCTCACGTTGGCTCCAGCAGCACCAGGGTGGCAGGCAGAGGCTTCTCTTGAGACTTGACAGATTGTACCCAAGAGGACGGACAAACTCTGAAGTCCAAAAGAGGAAGTGAAAAGAAATGTTGTTTTATCATAGGCTCCTCCCCTTCCACCCTTTTTCCTCTTCACTGTTCCCTCCCAGAAGATTCGGAGCTTCCCAGAACAGGTCTGGCTCAGCCCAATTCCAAATTCACGGAAATTTTAGAAACTGGGAAACAACTTCCTCTTCTTTTGGGACACAGCTAGGCTCAACCTCTGAGAGTAGGAGGGGAATAGTCATCCAGTTCAGCTCGAAACTTCCTATCTGTTCCTATCTCTTTAGAAAAGGCAACAGAGCAGAAGGTGCAGCCAGTTTTCTCTGACTTCTAGCTCCATTTGGAGGCCCAGATGCTCCTGAAACTGGTGATGGTAGGCTTGAGGCCACCCACCATCATTGATTTTCTTTGTTATCATAATCTCTGACTTACTCCTGGATTGTGGAGCAAGAACAAGAATGTGTGTCAGGGTGGCACTAGGGTGGTAATGCTCATCCTCTTATTCCAGCATTCATTCCTTTATTTTTTTTTTAAGATTTATTTATTTATTAGAGAGAGCACACTCATGCATGTGAGTGTGCAAGGGGAGGGGGAAGGGCAGAGGGAGGGGGATGAAGAAGACTCCCCACTGAGCACAAAGCCAGACATGAGGCTTCATGTTAAGACCCTGAGATCATGACATGAACCGAAATAAAGAGTTGGACATCCAACTGACTGAGCCATCCAAGCACCTCTCACATTCATTTTTTTGCTTGTTCCTTCAACAGACAATCTTCTGAATACCAACTTGTGCCCTGGTTCTTTATCTTTACCATCTTCAATCCCATCACTGCTTCTATCACTATGGCATGGTAAAGGAGCATGGGCCTTGAGGCTATATAAGTCTAGTTTTGAATGCCAGCTCAGATTGCTTGTCTAGGAAGGTAATCATACCTACCCTTCAAGCAGGATTTCTCAGCCTCAGTACTTTTGACATTTTGGGTCAAATAACTCTCATTGTGAGGAACTATCTTGTACATTGTAGAATGATTAGGAACATCTCTGGCCCCACCCACTAGATGCCAGTTGCACCCCTAGTTGTGAAAATAAAAATGTCTCTAGACATGGACAAATGTCCTCTCAAAGGCAAAATTGCCCCAGGTAGAGAATCAATGCACTCAAGGTCTTTGGAAAAGAAAAGAAAATTCAAGTACTAGCAAAACACCTGGTGCATCATGCGTATCCAATGGAAGGCTGATTTCCTTTCCCTGCTTTCTGTCATCATCTTCATCATTGTTTGTTCACCCTCAACATCTCTAGAAAATAAATTGCTCTTCTTTGGGCCCCTTCCTGGGGCCTCTTTCCCAAATGCCCTCATAGGAAACAAGCTGCAAAACTCAAGGAACTAACACTGTAAAATCTCTTCTCAGATCCATAATCTTCAGAAATCCTCAGCTACAGGCTTTTACTACTGGCCCCATTCAGTGTTCCTACCCCAATCTACTTCCAGCTCTTATCTGATTTTTAAAAAAAATCTATTTATTTATTTGAGAGAGAGAGAGAGAACACGAGATGGGGGAGGGCCAGAGGGAGAAGCAGACTCCTTGCCGAGCAGGGACCCCTTTGTGGGACTGGATCCCAGGACTCCAGGATTGTAACCTGTAACCTGTAACCACCTGAGGTAGCTGCCCAACCAACTGAGCCACCCAGATGTTCTCTTATCTGATTTTTAGGTGAATTTCTTGACCAGTGACAAGACTCCAATGATCTGACATCAATACTTCAAAAATATCATTAGAAACTGATAAAGTTAACTTGTATATTAAGACCCACAAAATGGAAACCCCACTGCTAGTGGCCTGGCCCATGACACAAAATCTAAACCTAAGTCAGCTTGCGCTTACAGGAAACACCTGTCAAGGAAACCTTACAGACACCAATCACAGTCTTCCAACTCAGATTTAGATAGCTTACCTTATCCTAGAAAATAGGACCGGCAGACCTCATAGGAAAATCCCCAAACTTCTAGCCAATCAAGCTATTTTCTAGTTGCCTCTTCTATTGCTCTATAAAACTCACTTTTCCTGGGATACCTGGGTAGCTCAGCTGCTACAGTGATGTACACGTAAAGCACTGCACAGTCCTCAACCAGTGGTACATCCCTTGTAGTTACTAATTTGGTTCTGTGAGACGTAAGGCTTAACTAAGGAAATGGGATCCTGTTTTCAAAGAATCAAGCGTGTCATTCTCCAGTATACCTGCTTAGTTGATGTCTAAGAACCACAGTCCTGGAAGCTGTAGGTATCTATAAAAATGGCAAAATCTTACTAAGACAAGCTAGAATTACAATGGCTTTAATGGGAAACACTCTAGTTTGACAAGATCATTCATTTAAGAAGTGCACTTGAAAGTAAGATTTCCAACTCAAACAAACATAATGGGCTATTTCAATTGGTATGCAGAAGCTTCCAAAAGTCTTCAAGGTTCCAAAATTTATTCATTTATTTGAGAGAGAGAACATGAGAAGTGGGGGATCAGAGGGAGAAGCAGACTCCCTGCTGAGCGGGGAGCCTGATGTGGACTGGATCCTGGAACTCCAGGATCATGACCTGAGCTGAAGGCAGTTGTTTAACCAACTGAGCCACCTGGGCACCCTTGAAAGTTTTTTTTTTTTAAATAGCTCCATGGTCAGAAGTTGACCAAATTGGAAGCTGATATTCAGAGCCCAATAGAAACTTTTTTTAGGTCTTCTCTCCTGAGCTAAATGAAACTATATACTCAGAAGAGAAGAAAAACATTCCAAAGACAAATAACCATAAATTTAGAACATGGATTCTTTTGATTTGTAAATTAGTGGAAGGTATTTTCTCTGATATAAAGAAACCAACTGAAGAAAATGTAGTTGGCTGAGTGGGTCAACCTTTCAATGTCATTCAGGCTGCAACCCAATTCTTTGAGGAATTAAAAACAGCTGTTTTTGTCTTATGAGTTGACTCTTTGCAAGAACAGAAATGCAACTCTACAAGCAATTCAAAGCCCACCTATCCTTTTTACCACTTCCAAAACCACCTGTATTCTTTTCAGAAGGCTTGTGGTATTGTCAAATTCTGGATTTAGGAAGTGGAAGTCCTTCTTGGAGGAACTTGCACTCTTCCCCTGTGCTTTTGAAATAAAAACATACTACCCACTCTTCTCTATGAACTCCTATCCCATCTATCTCTTTGAAATGCAAACTTTAGATGGGAATTCTTTTTTGTTTGTTTTTGTTTTGTTTTTGTTTTTGTTTTTAGTTTCAGAGGTAGAATTTAGTGATTCATCAGTTGCATATAACACCCAGTGACCATTACATTATATCAAGTGCCCTCCTTAAAGCCCATCACCCAGTTATCCCTTCCCTACCCCCACCTCCCCTCCAGCAACAATCCTCAGTTTGTTCCCTAGAGTTTATCATCTCTTGTGGTTTCCCTTCCTCTCAATGTTCATCCTATTTTATCTTTCCTTCCCTTTCCCTATGTTCATCTGTTTTATTTCTTAAATTCCACATATGAGTGAAATCATATGATAATTGTCTTTCTCTGATTGACTTATAACTCTTAGCATAATACCTTCTGGTTCCATCCACGTCATTGCAACTGGTGTGATTTCAGTCTTGTTGATGGCTGAGTAGTATTTCATTGTGTATAGCCTACATCTTCTTTATCTATTCATCTGTCAATGGACATCTGGGTTCTTTCTAAAGTTTGGCTATTATGGACATTGCTGCTGTAAACATTGGTGTGCAGGTGCCCCTTCTGATCACTATGTTTGTATATTTTGAATAAATACCTAGTAGTGCTTTTGCTGAGTCATAGGGTAGCTCTATTTTTAAGTTTTTGAGCAACCTCCATACTTTTTTCCAGAGTGGTTGCACCAGTTTGCATTTAGAATATAATTCTTATCAGAAAAAAAAAAAAAAGGAAAGTCTATTTGGAAATTAGGCAAATGAAAAATCTTTAAAGTTTTCACAAATATTAATGAAAAGTTTAAACTATCTGAGCAGTTAACTTTAACTTATTCAATCTACCAGAAAAAGAATGTGGATCCAAGTGTCTCTTAAATTCCACATATGAGTGAAATCATATGATAATTTTTGCTTTATCATAGCTGTCACATGGTTTTACCAAAGCTTTATCATAGCAACCTCATAACTAAAATTTTAAAACAAAGGTTATGAAACCTCTGGTTGCATCTATCTGTAGGTCTATATTTGTATGCATGTTATAAATGTGTGTTTTTTTTCCTATCTCCAGACGGTATTGCCAAAATTAATCTATAAAGAGAGCTCTATCTGATTGGTTTAAAGAAAATTAAGCATTTGTATAAGTCAAGTACACTCTCAGAAATTTAGAAAATAATGTTTTTCAAAACATTTCAAAAATGTTTTACAAATTCACATGATTTGGATAATCTCCAGTACGCAAATGCTAGTTTAAATTTATTGCTTTAGGGGCACCTGGGTGGCTCAGTGGGTTAAAGCCTCTGCCTTTGGTTCAGGTCATGATCTCAGGGTCTTGGGATTGAATCCCACATCGGGCTCTCTGCTCAGCAGGGAGCTTGCTTCCTCCTCTCTCTGCTGCCTCTCTGCCTACTTGTGATCTCTGTCTGTCAAATAAATAAATAAAATCTTTTTAAAAAATGTTATTGCTTTAATAAAATGAGCATGTCTTTAGACTTAGCATCATTAAGTATAATACTTCTATTCTACTGAGGTTTACTAAAAGTCACATAAGCTCATTTTATCTCATCTATCATCTTATAGAATTTGTCAGCAGGAAAGCTAAGTTCAAAAGATGGTTAGCTGTTTAATGTCCCTTGAATCTTTCATGAGTAATCTGAACATAAATATTAAGAACAAGCATATTAAATAGATGTAAGTAAGATAAAAGTTTATAAATTTCTTTTCAACAATAATGATGTTTTATGGTACATCTGCTTAAAAATAGTTGCCAGGGTGCCTGGGTGGCTCAGTCAGTTAAATTTCGACCTTTGA